GTTATTTTTTCTAAGAGAATAAAGTACCTTAAACATAAAAAAGCGCTCGTAAAATTATTGGGAGATGGTAAGCATTGATTAAGGTATGAGAAGCGATAATTATGTAAAAAAGTACGTAGAATTTCATGGTACCAAGGGTTTTTGAGTGCGGTGCAGATAGCTACTTTCCGGCGTTATTTTTTCTAAGAGAATAAAGTACCTTAAACATAAAAAAGCGCTCGTAAAATTATTGGGAGATGGTAAGCATTGATTAAGGTATGAGAAGCGATAATTATGTAAAAAAGTACGTAGAATGTCATGGTACCAACGGCGTCTGAGTGTGGTATTAAATAACTACTTTCCGGCGTTATTTTTTTTTAATAGAATAAAGTACCTTAAACATAAAAAAGCGCTCGTGAAATTATTGGGAAATGGTAAGTATTGACAAGTACAAAGTTTCAAAACTAATCTTCACTCGTTAACAAATATTAATCACAATTTATTTTTAATAGATACTATTTTATGTACCAATAACTTTAAAGCATATGTTTATATTTTACTAGAACTTCCCAAAACAAATCATAGCAATTATTACGATTACGGAAATTTACTACAACCCAAAAAAATTAATAAAAAGTGCCTTCAACTGTAAAAATTGGTAATAGGAAAAAACGATCAAGAAAATGAAAGAAGAAATTTATCAAAATATTCTACATTATAAAGCGTGTTAATAAGGAAACAAAAGTAAAATTCAAAATTTCTACCTTTTGGCTGTGGTATTTCAAGTTGAAAGTGTGGTAAATATCCTTAAGTATTCTTTAAATCACATATGAGAGTTTTCGATCAAGTAATCCTTAAAGGCTAAAAAGGCATTTTTGATCCTCCGACACGATACTAGTAACTTGATAACAGAGAATGCACAAAATAAAAAATGTTATTTATTTTATACTATAATTGAATAAACGTAGTTGCGATCGTTTTATTACACAAAGGAAACCTCGATAGAAACTGAGTTCTCGGGTACGCAGTGTTTAAATCGAAGATGAACAACACATTCGTTCACGAAGCTTGATTAAATAATGTAATCATAAACCGAATAAAACCGAAAGGATAAATATGTTGTAAAATAAATTGTTTTTGCGTTTTTATTTATTATTTTTGTTAGTGATTAATGATGAGCAAAGCAAGACTAAGACCAAGACTGTCTCAGTCTTGATATTGGTCTTGGTCTTGCTCAAATACTTGAAGTCTTGGTCTTGTTCATTTAATCTGATAGTTACGTTTTGTTTAATAATTCTTCTAATCACAATTTTCGAACTGAAACTTCTTTACGCACGGTTGGGTAAGTTCGTTTCATGCCAGTTACTATGTAACGAAATCATGCAACGCATTTCCATCGCTGTCTGTCCCTATGTATGCTTAGATCTTTAAAACTACGCAACGGATTTTAATGCGTTTTTTTTTTTAATAGAAAGAGTAATTCAAGATGCAAATACTTTTTTTATTTCCTACTTCAAATGTAAAATACAAAATAATTTTTCTTTTTGTATTTTAAAATGACGCACTTGATGAGTGCATATTATATACAATGTTTGGTTCTTTTTATGGCAGGAATAAATGAAACTTTCAAATGAAAACCTTGTTTACATTGTGACATTGTGAGTCACTAATAAAAGGCGCTCCTTTTAAGAAATTAAGAAATTGTATTTTTAAATTAAAACATGCAGTTTCAAACATTAAAATACCTATTTCTATATTTTCATTTTATTTTTCTTTGTTGTAATATTTGTATTGGCATTTACCTATATAATTTTCGTAGAGTATCCTTCAAACGACATAAGTCAACACGCCAAGCAAAAAACCTCAAGAGATAACAACATGACGACGAGCATTCCAGTATTCGACGTAAATAAGTAAGTATAAAGCACATTGTATCTTAACTGTTCCCTTTCCCCGCTTCCCAAAGAAGAAAAAACGACAATACAACAGCAGATACAGATTTAGACAAATATTTCGACCATTATATTCAGACAGAATCAAGATTATTGTATTTATTTTTATTGGGTTAATTTTACTTTTCCAAAATCATTTTAAAATATTACGCAGTTAAAAATTTAACTTTAATTTTATTATATATTTGAAAGAAAATAAATGAAGATATATTAACGTATAATAACAAAAAAACTTGTGTACTTCTACAACGTTATACCCAACCGTCAGATTTATATTTCAAAAAATATCTATTAATCAAGTTTCGTATTATCTGCGTTTAAAAATCATATTGGTATATTTCTTCTACATCTATTTTTGTTAAAATTACAAATATATTTTATTATAGAATTTTATTATCTCACAACCAATCGACCTTTATTATTTTTTTAGAAAACCATAACACCTCAATAATTACTGTGACATAAAAAATTCAAAAAGATACCTACATTTTTATAGTTTAATAGAAAAATTAATATCTTACAACCGAACTTTAAAACTACGTAAGCATCTGCATCCATCAGCGATTAAAACGTTCACGTTCAAACACCCTCATAAAAACTACACATTTATAAACAAAATTTTAGAAATTGCAGTTTTAAGATTTAAAAGATATGAGCACACTTACAAAAAATGACTTTGCACACTTTGTTCTCGTCCTCTACAAGCAAAATTATAATAAATTCACAACTGAATGTGTAAGTACGCAAGTTATAACACCTGTAATTTTTACGATCAAAAACCACAGACCTTTAATATCAAAAGGTAAGGTAGAGAGGACTCTTAAAAAAAATTAAACTTTACACATTCTGTCCTCTTCCTCTACAAACAAAATTAATAATGTCTGAAGAAGAAATTTTTAAAAAATATGCAAATTATAACACCTGCAGTTTTTTCAATCAGATATAACAAAATTTTAGGTGAATTAGGGAAGGATAGAGCACCCTTAAAAAATCTGGCTGTACTTTTTGTCATCGTCCTTTCAAGCAAAACCGTTTAAAGACAAAATAATTTTGAATAATGTGCAAGTTATAACACCTCTATCTTTTTACTATAAGAAGTTCCAAAGTTGTAGGTTCAAATGGAAGGGTACAGAACACCCTTACACAAGATGTGACTACAGATTTTTTCCCATCTTCTGCAAACAAAATTATAAAATCTGACAAATAAATTGGAAAAAATATGCATGTTATAACAACTGGAATGACCAAATGTAGGCAGTGTATTGCCATCTAGCGGATTTTTGGAGCCGTTCAAGATATAATTTTCAATACATAATTGCAATATTTTAGGTTCGAATAGGAGGGTAGACAAAACCCATATAAAAAATCTGACGTTGCATATCTTGGCCCCATTTTTTACAAACCATCAATGTTGGACAAACAAATTTTAAATAATGTGTAAATCATAACACATGCAGGCAACCCACTGTACATATGTAAATTTAGCTTTTCCCTTCCTGCCCGTGAAAATTTCACTTATAGCAAACTCCCAAGAAAAAATTATGACAAAAAATATTAAAAAACACATTTTCTATGCGCCCAAGGTAAATACATTACAATTATTGCTGTTATTGACTTTAGATTTGTCCCTTCATTTTAGTGAAAAAATTTTAATTTGTTTATAACACACTTACAAGGGAAGATAATGGCGAAAAACATTAAAGCAGCTTCTATACTATGTCCATACACTGATTGTTTATTAACAAATACACTTGCAGTTATTGATTTTTTAGAGATTGCTGTCTTCTTATCATGAATGTCTTTAAAGAACCTTTTCTTCCAAATACCAGAAGTGAATAAAAAGAAAAAGTAAAAAAGTGTCAATACAGACTTACAGTAATCCGTACCATTTTATCTAGCAGTCCAGCCGCAATACTTAATTGATTAGGAAATATACCGATTATTAATGATCGAGCAAATTAACAAATTTCTATATAAACAGAGTACAGCAGTACAGTTAATGTAATTAGAGTTCATTCATTTAATCAGTCAATCAACGAGGATCTTCCAAAATATCAAATAATATCTGGTTTAAATTAAGTTGTAGTAAAGGATAACTTTAAAACACCGTACTTATTATTAGTGTAATTGAAGTTTTTAGTTGCCGAACTGGTCGTCTAATTATACGGGTCATATGTGTGTCTCTGCATGACTAAAACGCGTGCCATCAACCTATCTACATGTATTTCCGTGAAATTTTTGAAGGAGAAACTTCTGAGGTCTTGCAGACGACTAATTTGCGGGTACAGTGTACATAGGGTCGTGAATGGTATCACATAAATGGTCCATGCATCCATATGTAACAGAAAATACCAAAACATGTGAGAGGTATTACCGTGTGATATATATTTAAAACGCACTATTAATAACTCAAAAATGAATATTATTTATTAATTGTAGTATGTAAAAAAAGTACGTAGAATTTCATGGTACCAAGGGTTTTTGAGTGCGGAGCAACTTACCACACTAAAATGCAATTTACATCTGGTATTTTAAAAATTTAAAATACATAGTGCGGTGACAAATATGTACTTCACGGCATTTATTGCTAAAGTATATAAAATAGTTTAAACGTACAAAAGCGCTCGCGCAAATATTGGGAGATAATCGGCACTTACTAACAAGAAGCATTGAGAAGTGAAATATGCAATAGAATCTCACAGTGCTACCGGATATGTTCAGTTACTTATAAAACATAAAAAAAGCGCTCCAGAACTTATTGGGAAATAGTAAGTATTGACTAAGCTCTGAGAAGTGATAATTATGTAAAAAAGTATGTAGAATGTCATGGTACCAACGGTTTTTGAGTGCAGTGTCAAATAGCTACCTTACGGCGTAATTTTTACTAATAGATTAAAATACCTTAAATATCAAAATGCGCTCGTGAAATTATTGGGAAATGGTAAGCATTGATTAGACTATGAGAAGTGATAATTATATAAAAAAGTACGTAGAATGTCATGGTACCAAGGGTTTTTGAGTGCGGTGTCAGATAGCTACTTTCCGGCGTTATTTTTTCTAATAGAATAAAGTACCTTAAACATAAAAAAGCGNCGATGGACTAACTAAACCTGCTATCATAATAACCAAGCTCGATGTGAATCCGAAAATGTTTTTTATTCCCCAAAATGTTTCCATGACAATTGGTTCCACCCCTACTAAGACAATTTTCAATACGTTCCCTGAAAGTTACTAAATGCCACCAACACTTTTTTTTAATAGGTATATTTATAATCTAGATGGCATTCCACCTGCAACAACAATTGTTTCTCCAGTAATATAACTAGCGTCATTAGAAGCTAGAAATGCCACAGTTGCAGCTACTTCAGACGATTCACCAAATCTATTTAAAAAAAGTATGTATTAAAATCAAAAATGGTAATATTAATAGTTATTTGAGATTTCTGTTATGTACTATTTATCAGATTAAAGGTTTTGGTTTTTTACGTTCGTTAAACAAGGATGCGCGGCTAAAACGTTCATCGTAATAATATAGTCTTGTTAAATTTCAGTACAAAAAGTTAGAGTTCCTGCAGATAGTAGACAAGCATATTTCATTAAATCGTTAAATGAGTCTTTCATAGCGAGGCATCGGGGATCACTACAAGCATTGGATGTTCAGTGATCCAATGCTTACCTGTTGCAAAACTATCCTAAATTCAAATAACTCTCACCTAATAAATTTCTAACATAGCCAAAATAGTGACTTCATATTAAGTATACAAAATTAATTTGAATTACTATGTCTAGCCTTCTTTCTCAATTAGTTTTTTATAATTAGGCAGAATGTTACAAGCTTTAATATAATAGTTGGAAATCTGGTATTCTTTTAGTTAAAAAGTATGGATGATGTAATNCACATAGCCAGCAATTGAAGACACTATAACTATCCTCCCATTGCCAGATTTTTTTAAGTGTGGCAAAATTTCTTGGATTAGAAAAAAAGTAGATTTAACATTAAGTTCAAATATTTTATCCCATGCCTTTTCTTTGCACTAAAATGGTAAATATAATAACTGAGATAGATAGTATTGTTTTTTGAAAGTTTGGCTTACTTCAAATAAAGGACCAAAGCATAAATTTGTACCTGCATTGCATACAAGTATATCAATTTTTCCATATTTTTTTACAGCCTAAAATTATATCATTTATAAATAATATAATATCTATAGGATATCATATGGTAATACTTCATCAATAAGTTTACTTCTTTCCTCTGCTTTTGAAACATTGCAAGGTATTCCAGAAACGTCAATACATTCTTTCTGTAACTTAGTAATGGCTTTCGAAACATTCTCTGGCTTTCTACTGCATATAACTACTTTAGCCCCCTCATGTCCCAGTTTTTGAGCTATTGCGTAACCTATTCTGTATGAAAGAGAAAAAACAAAAAAACAACGTTCGACAAATTTTAAATACAATTTTATTTACCCATCAGTCGATGCAGTTACTACAGCCACTTTTCCTAATAATCGACTAACTGTATTGGAACTCATTTTCTTATAAATATGGTTTAAATTAACCTTTCTTGTAATTAATGGAAGTAACATCAACACCATATTGTTACAAAAAGATATCTGTGCTAAATTATTATCTATTTACATTTTTATTCGTGTTTTGTACTTTAACATCAATCATTACTTTGACAGTTACATTTATAGGTTAAATCAGGTTAAATTGGATCTTTTTCTTTTTCATATATTCTACGACCTATAGACATGAATCTCATAAAGCCGGGACGTTGACATTTTATCATTTATCTCTATCAGTGGCGTAGCGTGAATTTTTGCCTCTCAAGGTGAAGCCTAAATTTGCCACCCTTTCTACGTGTTTTTATTTAAATAAGTTGAGATTTTAGTGAAACTGTGTACACAAAAACTTTACCTAATTTTATTTAAATATTTTTTATTTAGCATTTGAAGAGATAAGTAGTGTTTATTATTAGCGTAAATGTGAAAATTTCACTTATAGCAAACTCCCAAGAAAAAATTATGACAAAAAATATTAAAAAACACATTTTCTATGCGCCCAAGGTAAATACATTACAATTATTGCTGTTATTGACTTTAGATTTGTCCCTTCATTTTAGTGAAAAAATTTTAATTTGTTTATAACACACTTACAAGGGAAGATAATGGCGAAAAACATTAAAGCAGCTTCTATACTATGTCCATACACTGATTGTTTATTAACAAATACACTTGCAGTTATTGATTTTTTAGAGATNGCTAATTTTATTTAAATATTTTTTATTTAGCATTTGAAGAGATAAGTAGTGTTTATTATTAGCGTAAATTGAAAATGTATGAGCTTATTTACAAATGGGTTTTTTAAAAACTTATATAGTTATTTCCCCCTTCATATTTTATTTTCGCGACAAAAGCTAGCCTATGTGTTTCTCCTCGGTTCGATCTATCATTTGAGCTTTTGGAAGTAGGTCAAACATTGAGTAGAGAACGCTATAGCTGATAATTAAACAAACTGAATGAAGCACTTGACAATAAAAGATCATTTACTGGACAAGGAAGACGAAGAGTTATCCTTCTCCATGAAAATGCTCGACTATGAAATGAATTAAGATCTAAAAATGAAAATAGATCGTTTGTTCTACCTGTCAGCGTTTCAAAAATAAAAACTCTCCGAGGCGGATGATTCACAGAATGGTAATAGCAAATATTCGTGATTTGAAGTTCGTTTGCAAACTTGGCGAAAGTGTTACCGAAGAAAAATTATGAGAGCGAACTCCGAAAGTGACTCGATTACATCCATGAAGAAATACGTTCCCACCTATCACATAAGGGCCACTGGAGGATTCTAAGAAGATCTGGTACGACCATACAATCTACGGCATTAATGGGATCCATCACCGAAGCTGCAATAGCATTGGGAAGGTCAATACATCTAGACGTACACCGAATGGGAAACGAAAATTCGACCATTTTACCTGATTGACTCCACAGGCTGGTGAAAACCCGAAAATGTTTCGATTAGAATAATACAAGTTCGATCTCCGCATCCCTGGTATGAAGAATTCATACCTACATCGAGCTTGTATTGCAAACCCAGATTTGGAATCATATCTTAAAGGCCCCAAGACTTATTTGCTATCCTGAAGGGATACTCGCTAGCTCATTGTGTGGCGTCTGACTTCAGTATGGGCCACGAAACAGCTGAGGTGTTTAAAAAGATGTTTGGCGGGCTGTCGGAGCTGAAAGACCAGTTCAGAGATGGAAGAAATGTGCTAAATTTACATATCGGAAATTGATTCGTCTACTACCTTGTCACCAAAGAAGAAGCGTCTGGGCAACCCGCTTACCGCTTGATAGCGTATTCTTTAGTGGAAGGGACCGGATGTTGACCACTAATATGATGAAGCTAGTTATACCAGGATGTGTTGAATTAGAGGGTTGTATGAAGCATGTTAGAGGTTCTGTTCCGGTACACTGGGGTAGAGATTTTAGTATATACCGGCAATCCACGATGAAAAGTCGCCCAATCGAAGAGCTTGAATTACTATTCTCATTTGACGATCGGATGCCAAAAAGGTCAGAGAGATGTGGATATAATCCTTTGAAGAAGGGACAAAACATGATCCCGGACGGATCATTCTTAAGAAGGGGACAGTGTTGCGTACAAGCATATACGAGGTAATAAATAAATTGATAGCCGACGGCTCTTAACTATGTCTGCAGGCAGGGACTGGCCGATGGTTGACAGCTTTTCTACTAAAGACGCGAAAGGTAATAAATGATAAGTTGAGTGACACATATTTTGCCTGCTTAACAATAAGAGTTCTCGAGAAGAATGAATAATGTTTGGAAGAATTCGAAAATAATATAATTAGGTCTCTGAATGACAGCCAGTATGATATAAATAATTATAAAATAGATACCCGTTAAATAAATAAATTAATTTCTTGTCATTTGATATACAGGATTCCACAAAATAAATGGGATTTTCTCAGTTGTTCGTAGTATTAAAAGTTCAGGAACCGCACTCTAGATTAACGGCTTCCAAATGGTGTTCTGAAGGAGGGTCACAAGGATTCCGCGGAATGCGCCGTTTTTTATCCTAATGAAACTGTACAAAATTTTGCAAAAAGCAATCGTTCTGTATTTAACAGTAACAATGACATATTTTTCATGATCAAACTAGTGATGAAAGGCCGGACCCTAACAGTTAATTTCATGATAGGGACGAGGACAGCTATTATTGTGAAATGAGATAACTAGATGCCAGATGAGAGGGATAGGACATAATTACGTTGTTATTTCGTAAAAAACCCTTTTTAAAAAAGAACTCAAAAACTTTTTAATTTTATTTAGAGTCGAACAACAACAGGGTTTTAATTATTACAGTACTGTGCTATGCACGTAAACTGCGACAATTAGAACCCAAGAAAAAAAGGTTTCTCATAAGGCATATATTTATATAGTAGAGATGTGCAAAATGTTTTTTACAAGAATTTAATTACAAAATGCAAATACTTGTTTGATTTGTTATTTCAAATGTAAAATACAAAATAAATTTCCCTTTTGTATTTTAAATGCTAAATTCACTTAACTATAAAATACTTTTTAAGAAAACCTTGCAGGCATTTGCTCATTTTTTAAATACTGGAGTTGTTCTAGACTTTGCACGATATCACTAGCTGCGAAGACTGAGTATGATTCATATTGTTCTGTTTGAGGTGATTGAAATATAGTTTTTCTATCTTTATGTTATTGTTTCTTCAGTTCGACAACAAATAATTCTTCTATATGCTTCCATACTTACCTTTGTTACCCGTTTTAATTTTAGTTGGTGTATACCAATTCGATATTGTTTTGCGGGATATTTCGTACTTCCTTGCTACGATAATTGGTGATTTGGCAGGTGCTGATATTTATTTGGAACTTCAAAATTCCATGGACTATGACGTCCGAATCCGAAAAACAATATCGATCCAGTATTTTAGATTATCCATTTCCAAGGAATTTACAATTTTTTGGACTCTCTTCTGTTAAAGAATTAGAAGGCATTAATGGAATATCTCTTTGTCCTCTTTTTAAGCTTCTAATACCTTCAATGGCCAATGTGGGCAACATTCATTCATCATTTTATATAATGTTTGATTGGTGACATTAGCAAAACTTTTAACGGTAAAAGTGTATTTTGCATTTTACAAATATCAAATACGTTTGGAAAAGTATTTTAAATAAAATACAAAATGCTTTTCTCAAAGAAGTATTTAAATTCAAGACAAAACCTATTTTTTATATTGTAAATATTTCAAGTAAATCACATCTTTCATATTAAGGAATATAATATGTTTGGTTATCAATATGAGAAGCGCACACTGGATTTTTATTAATTTGTCCAGGTATTTTCACATGAATAACTACATTCGGACATTCTCTGGTACGCTAAGATATAATAAATTGGATACAATTTTTCATTGGTTCATTTCTGTTTCTTCGGTTAATTTGTTTATTTATTATTATTATATGTGTATAGACCTTATCTGATAACGCAAAGCAGTTCGACTCATTTATTTATTAAGATATTCACCGGAACTTTAAACGCAGCTATTATCCTATAATGTCATTAGTGAAGGCATACCTACGAAGATATGGAAAATCACCATCAACCACGCCTTCTACACACGAAAGCGAGATGCTTTTGAGAGAAAAAGTTGGGCAAGTACGTTTACGGTGAGAGGCAAAATATTTTCTCTAATGATAAAAACAAATTTGGCTACTAGATTGAATGTGTTGAATAAAAAAGTTGCGAAGAAAATGAGTTACAAGTAACCTCAGATTTGATTAAAACCGTAAATGAACATCTATTGAACCTCAGAGAACCCCAGACACCTACTAAGTACAGAATCCATTCACAAATCATACTACACCATCAATCTATATACTATATCTAAGAATTAAAACTTGATTGATATTAAGATTTCATTTTTTCTAAAAGAAAAATTCGAAATAGTTGATCCAAATTTGAATAACCTTTGGATTGAATTTATTATAGTTCTTGTTTCGGTTTGTATCGATTTACCGATTACAAACATTAGCTTTTCATATTACGCCTACAATAAAAACTATTTCGGAACCAGGCTGGATGCTGCCCTGGAATTCTAATTCAATTGTTGGACATTAAATCTAATTTTAATGCTATTATAAGTAATAAATACGTGCAATAAAAATTCTGAATTCATAATTCAAGTTGAAGATTACAATTTGTACACAATGACATGTCAGGGGTCTTAGGCATAAAACTATTATCAGTTATTATTTGTTGAAATGGGATTTCGCCAAAAAGAAAAGGGCAGGTCAAAAAGGGTTCCGCAACAAAAAACAATTGGGAACCGCTGCTCTAGATCATTAGTTTGGTATTCGGGAGGTCACTTGTTCAACATCGAGTCCACCTTCCTTAGGCCAAGCTTTTCTGTGGTTTCTATGGATCATTTAGGCAAATACTGGGGCAGTAGATAATAATCCTTCACTTCTCTTCTGTCTTCATTTTGTTCGCTTGACATGTCTCTCCCTAACTACTGCCCATTTCTACGATTCCTAAAAGCATGTCTTCTGCCCTACTCTTCGGCTTTGCACTACAGTGTAGGTATGAAACGATGCCTGCGCCCACCTGCATTCAAATTTGAGTGTACGCTATGATCAGCACTTTCAAAGAAAAATGCAACAAATATTGTGGCTTAAATGGTTCATGGAAAGAAATTACTATCTTTTTTAGATATGATATTTTTTTCCCTTTGCTATTTCTAAGTAACAATTTCTAAAAATTTTAAAAGAATTGTGCGTGTGGGTTTTGATGAGCACCTTTAATTAAACACTTTTGAAGATACTACAATAATTTTTATTGCTTAAATCGAAATTGGTAAACGACCACGTGCGCGTGTCCGACGCGACGATTATTTTTAATTTAAGGCTTTAACTCCTTCTTTTATTAATTTCTTTGTTTGTAGGTGGAGAATGATACTGACATATTTAATTAAATTAGCACAATTAAGATTATACGTAGCGATTTTGAGTAGGCAGTCGAACACACAATTGACACATTTTATTGTTTACCTTGTGTTCCAACACGATATTGTAACAGGTATGAAATAAAAGCAATAAATGTTACATGTCTTATCATTCATACAACTTCGGCTTTGTAAGTAGTAACAAACAGCAATATTATGCCATATAATTTATAATGTGCACTGGTGGGCTAACCGTAAAAAACAATCAAATCGGGTTTTATCATGAAAATCGGACTGATTATAATTTTGATCGCGTTTCTAGTGAAGTTTTGTAGAGGTGGTGTATGTTAGGCATTCGCCATGGGATGCAGTTACTTTTAACAGTTCATTTTTTAGTACGGCACAAACGGTGGAATTTATGATGAAGAATCATTTCATAAAGAGTTTGATGGTCATCTTCGATTTACAGCATGCGATGGACTAACTAAACCTGCTATCATAATAACCAAGCTCGATGTGAATCCGAAAATGTTTTTTATTCCCCAAAATGTTTCCATGACAATTGGTTTTGAATTCACGAAAAATATTGAACCACCTATAATGGTAAATAATGATTGAATTACTCCTTTTATTTCTTTTCTTTGTTAAATATTTCGTAATCTCGACTCCGTAATAATCCAAATAAAAAGTTAATAGCAATCGGAAAATCACATTAGTGAACAAGAGCGGTAGTACAGCTGAAAACTAAAACAATTCATTTGTTTATTTCGGGTTCGTCCCAAAACTGGTAAACTAGAATCTTATAGAATTACAGTCTGTCTTTTTGTCACGCAGGTGTTCTTCGGAAACCATTTCAATTAAAAACTTGACAGGCAATTAAGTTTTCCATGCGACCTTTCAAATCGATTGATAAAATTTGGAAAGGGTTTGACAGTTTCTTGAACTATAGAAAATGCTTTTTTATGACATCTTATAAGGAAGTCTTTATCCTCATGGTTTAAGAAATCATTGTTTGTTATAAATAAACTTAACTTTCAGCAAAAGTCTTGAGCTCAATAAATTTATTTATGGACAGGGAAGGTATTTTAAAGAACCGAACTGATACCACAAAAATATCAGCCGGAAATGTTAGATGACAGTTGTTTTGGTTTTATTTAGTTATATTAAGAGTTACGCACTCTTCAGATTCATAATGATATCAAAAATCATTAATATTAATAATAATGCATATTCAATTTTTTGCGAAATATTTTTATCCAAACAAAGGTAATTATCGACTTTTAGTGGGTATTTGCTATTAGTGATAGATGCTAGTGTGAATTGTCTTAGTAAACGACCAACGGAGAAGCTTTCAGCAAACCTTTTCATGATGAGCATAAATGGTAATTGCATAATTGTTTATGTGTAAGGTAAAATTCACCATTTGACGATCTTAACTTATTTATGCCATGCACCCGATAAGATCGCCGATTAAATTTAAAAAAATTAGTGTCTTAACCAGTGGACATATCCTGCCATCATTTATCATCAATTACTAATTTATATTGCGTGCAAAATTTTGATAACTGCTTCCTGAATATATATCAAGTCTTCATAAATCATCATCATCATAAGGTCGTCAATCCTAAGACTGGTTGGACACCTCCACTCTTTCCTATCCTTAACTACACTTCGCATTTCCCTAAAATTAGAACAACTCACATCCTTAACTATTTGCGAACAGTGATTTAATCTAGGTCTACCTCTACCCCTCTTAACTCCTGTTTCTGCCTCTAATATGTCTCTGACTAGACCTTAATGCCTGAGAAGGTGTCCTACCAACCTATCTTGCCTATTTTTTATTGATTTACTAACACCTTCAATACTTTCTACCGATTAAAAAGTGCTGTAACTATGCAAGTATAGAAAGGAAAACAAAATAGCTTTCTAGTACAAAAAAGAAAAAGAACTTTTTAATTTTCAGTAAATTTTCCCTGGCCGCTTTCTCGGCATCAAAATTGAAAAAGATTATCAATTTTCCCTCAAACATATTTTGATATAAATTATATTAAAGACTTTTTGGATTACGAAATCTAAAGGATCTTCTCGTTTATCTTAAGCAAAAGAAATCACATTGCGAGCTTTCAAGTTATAAACTGACTCTAGTTTTATCAAAGAACCTAACTTCATGGGCACGAGTCAAAAAATAAAAAGGTTTTTGAGGTATGTATCAAAGTATCGCATGATTTTCAACCTATCTAATGTATAATATATCAAAAAACATTTTTGAAATGACCTCTAAGGCAGTTGTCATGAACATAGCAGAAGTCACCATTTGAATCTAAAATTTTTAGCGTTAAACATTTTCACAGATTTATTCGAAGCGAAAATTGATTTGATCAGAATTTGGAAGGTATGCTTATAATTTTATAATATATTGAAGGTTTAATCCCCGGTTCACCCCTTTAGATTTAGTATTTTGAAAACTCACTTTATAGTAGATTCACTGGTCTAGGCTATGTCTTGATTGATATATCAAACTTTGAATTCCCTTTTCGTCCCATTAAGGGTTGAATTTAAAAAAAAATCCTTTTCTAGTGCTCCCTTACGCTATATAGGGAACGTCTATGTAAAATTTCGAACCTCTAAACCCAAAGAATTGAGCCATGTGTTTGTTTGTTAGTAGTTATTGTATAATTTAGATGGATAGTCTGAAAAGCGTGCATTACTTTGATCTTTAGCCCAGAACATTTGTTGAAATAGTCATAAAGAAAATCTTACTCCAACTGCTACCAATTTGACCGGAGTCGATTTTCCGTAGTGAGGTCCTATGTTTATTTGACTAACATTTAAAACAATGTAATTTACAATAATTGTTAATTGAATGTGGCCTACACCTCGCATAGACTCTATCAATAAAAAGAAGTCAGTTCTATGCTCGCGAACGGTTAATTCAGAAATCTGAAAAAGGTTGTTAAAGGTATGTTTGGAGCGCGACGCTGTTCGGGTGTAAAACATGAACGGTGGGCGCGGCGGAAAAGAAAAGGTTAGAAGCGTTCGAAATGTGACGTTACAGGCGAATGATGAGCATACCGTGGATAGAGAAGGTTAGAAATGAAGAGGTATTAGAAAGAGTAGGAGAACAGAGGACTCTATGAAACTCAATAAGAAATAGGTGAGATAGGTTAGTAGGACACCCTCTCAAACATGAAGGTCTAGTCAGAGACATATTAGATGCAGAAACGGAAGTTAGGAGGGGTAGAAGTAGACCTAGAGTAGATTACTATTCGCCAATAGTTAAGGATTTGGGTTGTTCTAGTTTTAAGGAAATGCGAAGATTAGATCAGGATAGGAAAGAGCGGAAGTACGTATCCAACCAGTCTTAGAACTGACGACCTTATGATGATGACGATGATGACATTATGAAATTGTTTCTATGTTCATGCCATATTGCTCCGGAAATTATGGTGAACTGACAACTATTTGTTTTAGTAGAATATTTAAGTTATTGGTCAGTAAATTTATTGAAACTACTAGGTGTAGATGGCGATTTCGATCTTAATAGATTTTGTCAACACCCCATGTGTCGTCGATTCAGTTCAGTATAGTTCCTTTAATATGGTCATTAATTTTTCGAGATTGCTGATGACGCATTGATGAGATTTAATAAGATCGGAATAGTGATCTACGTCTCGTCTGGTAGTTTTTTACTCTTTTCATTTTAATTACTCCACTCTTGATATGACTTTAACAGTAGGTTCTTTATTTCATTAATCCTTTCTAGTTTTTCGGTCTTTTTCAATCTTTCGTAACCATTATTTTGCTCAGCAGAATCTAAAATTTACCATTACCGATTTTTGCAAATATTTTTGCTTAATGTCACTTAAAACAACGCGTTATAATTATTTGTTGATACAATTACATTCAATGGAGTACCTGGAAATTTTATGTCTTCACGTGGCGGCAATAATAACGTTTTTGCCAAATAATGTAATGGAAAAAAACAATTCGTCGAAAAACAAAGACCGTGCGCGTTAATGGTAACTGACTTAATTTAATTGTTCAGTTTTATTACAATAGTACATACACCTAATGACCGCATCACAGACAAAAGTTGCATGATATTATTTACCAGTACAATTACCCTGTCTCGAAAATAATTAATTTGTTGACATTTAAATTAATTTTTTTCCAATGTAACAATAGCTCTGTTTGTAAAAACTAAACCTGTGACTGTGAATCATTATTTTTCTAGAATGCTCGCATCTGTAAATTAACAATGTATACTAAACCACAGCGTTGATAGAACACAAAACAAACTATTCAATCATAACCAAATCAGATAATTGAATCAAAGGTAAATGTCTAGATGATGTCCCTTCGGGGGTGGGGGTGGGTGGGATATGAAAGAGGAGGTCTCCCCCACCACTGTACCATAAATAGTTCGTGGCGGTCTCACCCCCATAAAAAGTTATGGGGGTTAGATGGGGGTGGGGGTTAGGGAGATCGAAAGAGGGTAGAGGGGTCGAAAGAGGGTGATTACCTGAGTAAAACCCTATATAAAATTTGTGGCGGTCTCACCGCCATAAAAAGTTATGATGGTTGAAAGTTGATTATTTTGACAATTTTCATACACTATAATTCAAATAAAATTCAATAAAAAAAACATTTTCAAGCGGATGGAGGTGGGGGATCGAAAGAGGGTGGTCATTTGAACAAAACCCGATAACCTAACCTAACCTACCTTATTGATAAAGATATTTAAATAATGTTTTACATAACTTTCTCAATATTTTTTGTATTTTTCATTAGTTTTACCTTTGAATATTGCTTAAGAATGACCATAGAAGGGCATTTCTCAACCAACAGGGCTACTTGCTGTCACACTAATTTTATTGAAAAACTTCTTCATTTCGTTGTAATTATTTTAGAAGATATAAATTTATAATAATAATTCGTGCATAGTCTAAAATATTAAATTAGAAATACCATCACTTATTAAAATATTATTCGAAATCGTAAAACACAGTCTCCTGGTCGGTCACCAGCCCAGAAGAATTAACAAAGTATATAGGTTTATAAACATATAATTTAAGAAATTAAATTCGCTTCCAATTTTGCTGAAATAAATAATGACTCTATGTAAATGCCATACTTTCTGATGGTTACAGTGAAGTGTATTGGTGTAAAGGAATAAAAACTTTTGTCAGATCAAATTTCGAGCACAGTCCCCTGCTTTAATTTTCCAATGATACACACTGTTGTCTAAGGGTCGCAAAGCTATGATTTTGAGTTGAACGGAACGTTACCAATGT